GCCAGAGGTTCAAGATCAGTTTTGCCTTATTACAATCAAGCCTAAAGTTGTCAAGGCTGTTTCTTCTGGAGGCTCTGAGCTTGGAGAAGCTACCTGTGTTAAAGTGTATCACCTCCAGTCCCCTTATGGAATTTCTTCTGGTGAAACTCTGCTCCCTCTATGCCCCATTTCCCTCTGTGAGGACATGTCCTTTATGACCCACTAGATAATACAGGATCACTTCCTCATCTCAGGATGTAGACCTTTATCAGAGCTCCAGATCCAGTCCATATTTGCAGGTGGGGTTGCATCATCCAGTCTGACACATTTGAACTTTTTTCTTCTGGTTTTTCGAGACAGGGTTTCTCTGTGGCGTTGGAGGCTGTCCTGGAACTAGCTCTTGTAGACCAGGCTGGTCTTGAACTCATAGAGATCTGCCTGCCTCTGCCTCCCGAGTGCTGGGATTAAATGCGTGCGCCATCACCCGGCTTTGAACTTCTTTTTAAAAGATCTATTTTATTTTATGTGTATGGGTGTTTTTTATGCGTGTATGTCTGTGTGCTATGAGAGTGACTGGCAGCCTTGGAGCTCCTGGGGCTACAGTTACAGATGTTTGTGGGTGCTGGAAATTGCACTCGGGTCCTCTGGAAGAGCAGCTGGTACTCTCAATGGCTAAGCCATCTCTCCAGCCCAGAATCTTGTTTTTTCTTTTTCTTTTCTTTCTTCCTTTTTGTTTTCTTTTTTCTTTTTTTGTCTTGAGATAGGGTTTCTCTGTGGCTTTGGAGGTTGTCCTGGACCTCACTCTGTAGACCAGGCTGGCCTCGAACTCACAGAGATCCACCTGCCTTTGCTTCCTGAGTGCTGGGATTAAAGGCGTGCACCACCAATGCCAGGCCTATTTGTTTGTTTTCGAGATAGGGTTTCTCTGTGTAGCCCCAGCTGTTCTGGAATTCATTCTGTATATCAGGCTGGCCTTGAACTCAAGAGACCCACCTGCCCCTGCCTGGGTCTAAAGGTTGGCCACCATGACCAAGCTTCTGCCTTGGTCTCTTAAATTCTGGGGTTATAGGCCTGAACCACCAAGCCCATCTTACTTTTTGCTTGTTTGTAACTCATTTCGTATAGTTCAAGCTGACCTCAAACTTCCTATGTGGTAAGGATGACCTTGAACTTTTGATCCTCTGCCCTCATCACCCAAGTTCTGAGATTAAAGACATAAACTACCATGTCCAGCTTTATTAATTCCCCCCCCTCTAGTGTGCGTGCGTGTGTGTGTGTGTGTGTGTGTGTGTGTGTGTGTGTGTGTGTGTGTGTGTTTGTGTGTGTGTGTGTTCGAGTGTGCGTGCACTGTTCAATTTTTTTTGGTAAGTTTTCCTTAACTTTTAAAAAAATTTCTCCTCTGCTAACCACTCATCCTCTACACCTTTTTTAGGTGGGGTGGGGGCAGGTGTTGGTGCTATAGATTGAATCTAGAAGCCCCAGGCATGGTTAGCTCGTTTTAAGTTCCGGCTTTACCACTAGGAGATCCCTCCCTGACCTTATTTTAAGGTTATGTGTAGTGATGTAGCCCATATCTTTCTCTGCTTTCACACATGAAACAAAGAAGTCTAAGTATCAGGAGAGACTTTGGGTAGAATCATTACAGGAGTTACTTGGGGGAGGGACAATCCTGAGACTCGAGGGAGCTGGCAGAGAAGGGAAGGTTTTATCCTGAAGCAGCCTATTCTTAGGAGGGAACTTCTGGAAGGCTGACTAGATGGCTCAGGGATGGTGAAAGTTCAGAGGCCTGGGGCTGAAAGACAGAATTCAACTTGGGTTAAAGTTGGGTGTGGTGATAATTGTATAATTACAGTACTTGTGATGATGAGGCAGAGGGTCATGATTCCTAGGCCAGCCTCAGTGACGTAGGGGATACTGTATTTCTAAATAAATTAAAAACAACAGTCTGGCGGGGGTGGTGGTGTACACCTTTAGATCCAGCAGAGGGAGGTGGATCTCTGAGTTCGAGACCAACCTGGTCTACAGAGGGAGTTCTAGGACAGCCAGGGCTACACAGAGAAACCTTGTCTCAAAAAACCAAACCAACCAACCAAACAAACAAAAAACAAAATTTGGTTAACAAGTACTTTGTTCTTGTTAGTCATTGGGCATAGGTTGTTCAGTCTGTCATTTATGAAATAGGACTGGGAATCTGAAAGGTCATTTTTGGGTCTTATACAGTCATATGAGGAATTTCTTTGTACTGTGTCATTCACAAGAATATAGATGAGCACAGGGTTCAGGTGAAATTCCACATTGTATGTTCTCTTCTTTTCTTTCAGAGTTTCTTTGTGTAGCACTGTGGCTGTCCTAGAACTTGGTATGTAGAACAGGCTAACATCAACTCAGGAAGATCCATCTGCCTTTGTCTCCCAAGTGCTAAGATTAAAGGCCTATGCCACAATTTCCAAAAACTCCACATTTTCAATATGTAGTTTGGTGGCTGTTGTTCATTAGTCCTTCCCCTCACCCCATCCAACTAGAGACAGGTCTTGTGTATTCTAGACTGGCCCTGGACTCACTATGTAGTTGAGGATGATCTTGAGTTTATCATTCTGCCTCTACCTTCCAAGTTCTGGGGTTACAGGCATGTGTCACCACTCCTGGTTTTCTTCAATACTGGTGATTGAACCCAGGCCTTCTGTATCATATGAGCCATATCCCAAGCCCCTACACATGCTTCTGATGTTCTCAAATAGTCAGATAGGCTTCTTTGGCCATCTAGTTTTGAGTTTTCCTCCACATCTTCAACTATCTATTTAAACAAACACACTACATCTGTCCATCTAAGTAAATAAAAATATCTATCTATTGCCCGGGTGTTGGTGGCGCACGCCTTTAATCCCAGCACTTGGGAGGCAGAGGCAGGTGGATCTCTGTGAGTTCGAGGCCAGCCTGGTCTCCAGAGCCAGTGCCAGGATAGGCTCCAAAGCTACACAGAGAAACCCTATCTCGAAAAAAAATCTATCTATCTATCTATGTATCTATCTATCTATCCATCTTCTGTCTGTCTATGTAACTGTATCTTTATGTCTGGAGATGAGCCCTAGAGTCTCAAGCAAGCCAAGTAAGCACTCTACCACTGACCTCAGCCCTTACTTCAACTCTTTGTAATAATGTTTATTTTAACAATTATAAAATAGGTTCAATCAGTCTTAACTTATCCTGAGGACTTTATAACCATCTGGCCCAGTCAATTTTTTTCCCAAGTGTTTGTAAAGATATTTTGATTAAGTTCCTTTAAAGTTAGAAAGAGTAGCTGGGTGTGTTGGCCAACGCCTTCAGTCCTAGCACTCAGGAGGCAGACGCAGGTAGATTTCTGTGGGTTCCAGGCTAGCCTGGTCTACACAGTGAGTTCCAGGATAGCCAGGACTATTTAGAGAGACCCCATATTAAAACAAAACAAACAAACAAAACCCCCAAAACAAGTAAATAAAATTAGAAAAAATTCAACAAGGCATGATGGTGTATGCCCCAGCTCTTGGGAGGACTGCCCTAAACTGGAGGCCAGCCTGGGTTACATCGTTGAGTTTCATACCAGTTTGGTCTCTGGAGTGAGATTTTGTCTCAAAAAGGCAAAAACAAACAAAATAATCATTTAAGCTTTGCAGAACTTGTAGTTGGAAAGTTGAGGCTCTTTTAGCTACAGTTTTCAAAACTTACTACTTTTTTTTTTCCTTTGGGTTTTCGAGACAGGGTTTCTCTGTGTAGCTTTGGAGCCTATCCTGGCATTCGCTCTCGAGACCAGGCTGGCCTTGAACTCACAGAGATCTGCCTGCTTCTGCCTCCCGAGTGCTGGGATTAAAGGCATGTGCTACCAAAGCCCGGCAACTTACTACCTTTTTTATAATTTTTTTCTACATTTATTTGCTGTGTGTTTGTGTGTGCTACTGCCTGGATGTGGAGTTCAATTTGCCGGGAAGTCTATTCTCCCCCATTCACCCTGTGGGTTCCAGGTATCCAACATAGACTTGGCTTCAGCCACCTTTACCGGCTGAGCCACACCCCACCTCGTTGTTTTGAGGCAGGGTCTCACTTTAGCTCAGGGCGATTTAGAACTACACTATTTTGGGCTAGCCTTCAACTCATGGCGATTCAACCTCCTAGGTCCTAGGAGCTGCAATGAAAGGCGTGAGTTACCAGCTGGTTTAAAACCTGGCTCTTCTTAGTGTCTCTTACAGAACCGCCTGCTCTTCTGCATCCACAGTCTTCTAGAATCCACTGTTACTGTGTTCCTTTATCCACGGAAAAAGAAGGATGTTCTGGGGCGGAGGGGGTGGGGATCGGTCTCAACACCTTTTCTTCCATCTTCCTGGTCTCTTTCAGGAAAAAGGTGTTTGATCAGCACTCCAGACTTCCTTCAGTAAGCAAGAACCAGGAAATTCCCCACCCCACTTTTTATTCCCTCGTGTTCCTTCTGGGTCCATCCAAGCATCAGAAGGCGAAACGGGGCCAAGGCCAGGACAACGCTGAGTGTGACAAGGCATAACACATCTACGAGACAGACTTGCCTCGCCCCGCGCCACAAAGACACACGTCCCTGATCTTTGTTTTACGAGGAAAAGAAACTGTAGCTTTTCTTCAGTTCTTTCAGGAAGAGGGAGGGAGACCAGGAGACAGGGGCGGGGTCAGTGGGTCCTTCCAGTTAGCAAAGTTCAGGCTGTACCAACTCGCCTTGTTCCATAGGACACGCTGGGAACCAGCCAAGATAACCTCTTAACAGATCACCTCGTTTGCTGACTTCAAACAAGGAATCATAAAATCCTGAAATGCGCCGGGCGTGGAAGTGCTGGCCTGTAAATTCCAGCCCTCTGGAAGCCGAGACAGGAAGACTTCTGCGAGTTAGAAGTTAGCCTCGGCTACTTAGTGAATTCCAGGGTAGACTGGGCTACAGAGTGAGACGTTGGGTCAAGCAAACTAATCAAGTCAACTCCACCCCCATCTCCCCCGGAGAGTGGAAGAAGCCCAACCCCCTAATTCCTTAAATTTGCATTGTGTCCTACCCTGCCCTGACGCTAGTTGAGAAAATAAACCTGCCCTTTCTCCCCCAGCTTCCCAGTTTCCCTGAGGTGCCAGGTGATGATCTGCAAAAGCATTGTCTGGCCCTAAGGGCCTGACAGTTAATGATTTGTCGCACGAGCCAGGCGGAGGAGCGCGGGGACGCGAGCGAGCAGGCGAGCGAGCGCAGCAGGAGAGCTAGGCAGGGCGCGGGCCGAGTCCGCGCTGTCCTCACAGGCGCCGCCTCCTGTCTTCCGGGCCGGGGCACTTCGCGGGGTTCCGGGCACGCGAGTCTCGTAGGGACCCCATGGAGGCCGAGTCGCCGGCGAGTGAGGGGGTCACGGAGCCCCAGGCGCTGGGCGCTATGGGCACGATCGGCAGTCTACTGAGCAGGATCCGAGGCAAACTCTTCACCTGGTGAGTGCAGCGCGGGGCTGACCCGGGTGGCGGGGACCCAGGCAAGACTCGCTGGCAACCCACGCGCACGTGTCTGCGGAGGCGGTGGCGCCCCGACTTTGGTTCCGAGCATTCCCCATGCGCATTCGGGAGGTCTCATTTCACCTGGATGCTCCCCTACACACCCTTAGAAATGGTGGCGATGCTTTTCAGAAGGTGTGCAGGGGATTCATCCAGCTGGCATTGTGAGATCCGTCCCCGTGCCCCCGCGGCAGGATGGGAGTCCCCGTGGATGCAGTGGAGGAGGGCTGCCCACCCTGGCGCTTGGCAGGTGGAAGTGCTTCCTGGCTCGGAGCCTGCATTCTTTCAGCTCGGGATCCTTTCCCACCCGGCCTGGTGTTGCCTCCAACTAGAGTTCACTCAAGTGAGAAAGCTGGGTTAAGTTTTGTGCTGTTGCGAATCCGAGACTAGGTCTGCCCTGTTTTGGGGCCTGAGCAAGGTGACATGACTACCTCTGGAGCTAAGGTCCAGGGAAGCAGGTGTCTGATGTCACTGTGCTCCGTTGGACCACAGGTAGAGATGTTCTTAAGGAGTTGGCAGCGACTCTGGGGAAAGCTTTCTGTGGTCACTGGACGACGCGTTCTGGAGACACATAGAGACTATCATGCAAATAATGAAATCCATTTACCGAGCATTCGCTCCGTGCCAGGCACTGCGCTTAGCCATTTATGTGGACAGTAGCACCGCATCTCCTTCACTTTAGGATATGGCACTATTGTTAGACCCACTTTCTAGGTAGGGAAACACAAGGCTAAGCAATTCTCCTGGGGATTATGAGAGTGCCAGGGTTATAGGCATATGCCACTATCCACCCTGGGCAATGAGTTTCAGGAAAGATTTTTGAAAGCTACGCCCTTGAAAAGGCATCTCACTTTCAGAGCTGGTCGATAAATGTGTATACATGCATTTTTTGTCATAAATAAGCATAGTTTTAAATAGATGTGTGTTCAAAGGGGTAAATTGGCCCCAAATCAACCATTCTCTCTCAGCTGGGTAATGTCCTGATACTTTGGCAGCAGTTTCTTAGCTGGGAGACGTTACAGCAACGTAACTAAGGGGACAGACTTTGAATTCAAATCTTAGTGAGTTGGCCTTGCTTGGACAAGTCACCCCATTCTTGTGTGCTATTTGAGGATCGTGGCGGTACTGCAGCACAGTTTAAGAGTTCATGATTATCATGGGTCAGATCCTGGGTTCAGTTCTCAACAATAGAAAAAAAAAAAGAGGGAGGTGTAAGGCAAGATGAACATACACGACGGAAGGTGAACCAGTTCTCCAAAGCTGTTCTCTGATCATCACATCTGTGCTGTGGCATGCATGTCCACACGTATACACACCCATGGACACACTAAATAGATAAATAATGCAAGAAGAAAATTACTAACAGTCTTCTACACCCCACCCCCGCCCTGCTTACCCTTCAGGGCTTTGAGAGGATTCATTGGTTGACCACACAGCAGTGGGAAGAGAGAGCCTGGCCCATGTCAGTGTCCTGCATGGATTAGTTGTCACCACCGCTCTCATTCCCTGGTAATGGGAACTTGTGGTAATTGGGAAGATGCCAGTGACCCTAAGGCTGGGGTAGATAATCTGGAAGATACCAGCTCAGCAAGAGATCAAGAACTAGCAAATGTGATTTTTCTCTTCTTAGCGAAGTCTTTTCAGAGAGTATGTTTTATAATCAGAAGACTCCCATCTCTCGGTGAGGTTTATTTTGCACCTCCCCGAGGGACTTTTACTTTCTCGTGTGATGGTGGTTTGTGGGTATTTTACACTCCTGGTGGATGGGCTTGCTTAACAGCAGGCATTGTTCTTTTCCACATGTGCATTCTGCACAACCCTTAGCACAAGAATGAATGAATGAGTGAATGAACAAATAGCTGAGAGATGATAAAGTTCTTTTCTTCCTACTTTTCTTTGCTCCTATATCATTTCTTTTCCTGATGGAAAATTGCATGTCAGAAAAGCAAATTAAGCTCAACAATATGCTTCTAGACTCCATTAACTGTATTTGCGCTTATTCTGTCGTTAGGTTTCCCGCACTCTTTTTGTTTCATACCATGCTTCTCTGTTGTCCTCAAGCTGGCCGCTGACTTTGTGTTTAAATGACTCTTGCCTGAGCCTTCTGAGTACCTGGAACTACAGGTGTGTGTGTCTGGTTTCCATGATGAAGATCATGGGGGCATCCTTTTCTTTACACCATACTCTGAACGCCTCCTTCTGTTGATGTGTATTCTGAGGGTCACAGCCTGCAACTTTCTTTCTTTGTTTATACTATTTTTCAGTATTTCAAGTAGGCCATGCTGACTTTCAAGTTACTATGTTCTCTGAAGCTGGCCTTGAACTCCTAATCTTCTTGTCCAGGGAACCATACAGAGAGATAGCTTATAGTTTCATAGAAGTTTTTTTTTTTTGTTTTTTGTTTTTCCCTTTTCTGCTCCTTTCACCAAGAATACTACTTCTGATATGTGGATACTAAATACAGGGAAAGGTTAAGGGCCTGGAGCAGGTTGCCTTCTTTCTAGGTGACCCCAACTTTTGACATTGCTGCCTCCCTTAGGGTGCAGACATTTATCTTTGTGATTGTGAATACTAGATAAATAGACTGATTATGATGGTGCCTGACTGTAACCCCAAGCATTCAGAAAGTGGGATGGAATGTTCAAAGGCATTCTGGGAGTTCAAGGCCAACTGTAGTGATAACTTGTCTCAAAGACAAAAGATGGGGAAAAAGTGTCAGATCACTTGAGTACTCATTCCACAAGTTCAATGGGCACTTACTGTCTGGAACATTCAGGGTAATAGACCTGGGATGTCCCCCAATAGGTTTTGCC